AATTGGCTAGCTCTAGGATCAATCAGAGCAAGGATGTGACATACTCATCGCTATAGATGTCAGTCAACAGGGCAGTCTGACTTACACCATGTAAGACGTATCCTTTTTCTACATGAATAACTTGAGTACGTCTGTCTGCTCATAACTCAAAGGAAAGCTCAAGTCTGGATAATCTATGATGATTTATAGGGATGGGTACCTTTGACATTTGAATCGATCCGGTACTAATTCCCGGTACCTACGAATCGATACCGGTACTTAACGGTACCAATTTTCGATACTTTTGAGTGTTTAATATTTTAATTCTCTTTTATAATTAGATATATATTTTTCTCAATATATAACAATATTTGATAAATATCACGATAAATAACATACAACTGTTTGTATTTTAACATCGTCCTTGTAGTTTTATAAGCTGATAATTAAACTGAAGCAAACATCTTTACTGTGAACTAAATTTACTGTGTATCTTCATTCCTTTTGCCGTCTTTTTTCATTTGATTTTTCCTACTGGGAAGTTAGAATTTCAGAAGAGAAAGCGAACGCACCATTAGCTGATAACAATGGTAGCAATGGAAGCTAACATATCAAGCTAGCGTTATCTTAAACAGTTTTAGCTGCTGGAGCAGATTTAAACGATGATGCCTCACACTTAGATCGTTGTCACTGGTTTCATCTTCACCCAATCACCCGTCGCATTTAGTAAAGTGAAGCTAAACTTTAGAGCGCGTTTATATTCTTCTAGTCAAAATTTCGGAGTTCCGAGGAGAAAGCAAACGCACCATTAGTGAAACGGAAGCTAACAAATCAAGCTAACGTTATCTTAAACATTTTATTTATCTACCAGAGCAGATTAAGATGAGGATGTCTCACTTAGATCGTTGTCGCTGGTTTCATCATCACCCAGTTACCCATCACATTTAGTGAAGTGGACCCAAGCTTTAGCGTGTGTTCTTTCTACCATGCTGCTCTGTTTACAACTGGCTCGCAGCGACCGATGACATAACGCTGTTGCGCATGCGCAGCTGTCTAGGCAAGTTCTCGTTGTGAAGGACGGGTACCGAAACGAGGCACCGTTTCAAATGAAGTGAATCGGTGCTCGGTCGGTACTGTGGAATTCGGTCGGTACCTTAAAAATTACCGAATTCGGTACCCGTCCCTAATATTATACCAAAGCTGTTTCAAATGAGCGTTGTTCCTGAGCTGATGCCATCTTTGTAGTTCTTTTCTGTTTCAGCACTGGTTCTAAGCCTGTCTCTCTACAAATATAGAGTGCTGTGATTGGCCAATGGTGGAGCTGAGGCTACACTGAAGCATGGCTAGACCTACCTCCAGAATAAAATCTTTTGCTACCACTACAGTTTGTCTGGAGTTCTGGGCTCCATTAGTTCAGCTATTGTGAGTTTTCCTGCTTTTGGTCGGAGCAGGTCTGGAATCTTTGCCTTCTCGATTCTAAAGTCGGGGTGTTCTAGTTGATTATTCTGAACTGAAACTATAAAATTCCAACTCCTGAGGATAAATGGCACGCACTATCACTTCTGACTGGACTGATGAGCTAACGGCTATTCCAGACAAAGCCAGGACACATCTGAGGTGAATGGGGAGCCTAAGTATCCTCCCTTTCCGGTCGGCTTATGGGTCCCCGGAAGAATGAAAAAAAATGAATGCAAGTCAACGGGCCTAAAAGATCAGGGGTCTCATTTATCAAACATTTCGTAGAATCCTTACTAAAATCGTACTTAAGCTCAGCAAAAAAAAATGTGTCGACACCAAGCAGGTTTGTGACCTATCAAACATGGAGTACACACAGCTGCACGCAATCTCCGCTTCATAAATCGGAGATTAACGAGAATGTTTCTCAGCTACATTTTAGTCACATGCTGCCCTGACCACGCCCACTTACTGCCATAAATAGTCAATGCAAAGTGCCTTGTGGATCTCATGCATATACATAAGTCGGTTGTCGCAGCGCTCCGCCAATGACATGGCGACCGCAGATCAAGGCAGATCAAGGAAGCGCAATTTCACAGAAGCAGAAATTGAGGTACTTGTGGGTGAGGGGGAGAAATGAAAGGAAGTGCTTTTGCAAAACAAATAAGAGAAAATCCACAGAGTGGCATAGCATTGCTGAAGCCGTCAATACTGAGTTCTTCAGAGAGTTCTGTGGCGGAGATCAAAAATGGTCCGATTGAGCTTCGATCCCCAGACTCCCGGGTGAAAGTCATGTGTGCTAACCAGTCAGCCAAACAGAGAGCTCCCCTGTACAAATAGCCAGGGCTCATGATCAATCGGGTCACAGTGAAAGGACAAGATCTCGAAAATCCCACGCATGCCTGTTTGCGCACCTCAGGTCTCCGCACCGGAGCAAAGCCGTTGTAGAGCGGGTACCAGTAAAAATTGAGTTAGGACGCGAGCGGCTGCGGAAGGCGGAGCGGAGGTAGTGGAATTTCTGGGTTAGGCTGCTGCCAGTTCTGACTTATGTGCATGGAAGGAGAATCCCTAGCTGCTGCTGCACTTAGAAAAAAAAACTAAAGGGTTTGACATCAATAAACATGCAATCTAAAATTGATGGAGCTGTAACTGATACAGGGTTTGCACAAAGCATTTTTGAGACTAGTTGTTTTGATCCACTCTGATTTAAGTCCCATTGAAAATAGCTGCTAGCTTATCATTTTAGTCAGAATCGCTGTTTCTCCAACCTGAGGTTGTTCACAGAGCTGTCCATGTTACTCAACTTGAGCTGAGTGAAAACAGATCTAAATTTGGACTGGCCTTTAATCATCCTTAAACAGATTTTGTTTGTGAATAGAGACAACGAGGAGAAAAAAAACATAAATACTGAAAATGAAAACAGTGGTTAGAAATGCACCCCGTAGAATTTGAGCAGCATTTTATAAAAGTGATCACAAACAAATACAAAGTGTGTACTGGTATACAAACACTCAAACTGCACCTTTTTCGTGGAAGATAGAGGGTGTCCACGTGTTCAGCTCCAGTCTGTTCATTCTCTTGTCGTCGCTCCTCTTCTGCCTCATGCAAATGTGAAGAAAAATGCTGGAGGACAATCACAAACTCCAGAGCTCGGGATCCTTTCGTGTGGCGCCGCAACGATGGCTCCAGTCCCAGTTAGAGTAGCGACGACGTTCCCTCACAGGTTAGCTTCTAAGTTCAGTTAAAGTACATGCAGAGGCAAATATTGCAGCTGTATTCACGTGGCTGTTTGTCGTTGTTGCACCAGCGTAGAGTGTCCGTAAAATTAGAGCATACAATACAAGGTTTCATATGGAAATAAAAAATAATCACACAAATAATGTTATATACTGGTAATAGGTGCAAATTCGGCAAATCCACAAGAGAGACGAATCTCAAAGTAAAAGAAACCATAAAACCAAATCTGCAAGGTGAGCTCCTTCAAAAGTTCACTAGAAAATACAAATCATTCTAAATCTCTTCATGCTTCTAAACAAAAGCAGCGACAAAAGCGGTGTCCTCTCTGTCCGTGGTCCTTTGTCCTCTGTCACCTTGTGTTCTCCGACCATCTGCTCAGCTTCCCCTCTATACGTATCTCCACCTATGGCTTCTTGCACTTGCCTTTCTTCTCCCGCTGCTGGAACTTCCTGAGCCTGCGCGCCCACGTGTCCCTCCACTGGATGACCAGGCTGCCTTTGTCAGCCACCACGCCGCTCTGACCCGGGGAGTCCTCGTCGGTCCCTAGAAGCAGGTACTTCTTCCCAGGCTTGATCTTGGGACACTTGCACGCCACGTCTTTGGCGCGGACCCACAGGAACTGGTCCCCGCGGCGGATGCGGCTCTCGCCCTGCTTGTAGACGGAGATGATGTTGACGGTAAACTTCCACCATTCGCCAGCCTTGTCTGTCTTCAGGATGTGAACCTGGACAGCTGCAGGAGGATGTTAGAGAACCATTACCATCATTATATTTATATGTGTATCTTTACCGGTGTCGGTACAGTATCTGCTCGGGTGCAAGATCGGCTCGGGGTCCTTCGACTGCCGATGACGTCAAAGTACGGCAAACCCACTCGGACAAAATACACTACACATCTATACTGTTGGAAAGAATTTAGCAGTTTCGTTATTAAAATAATGTTTCTTAAGACGTAAGTTTGTGTTTATAATGGTATTTGTAAAATAAAACACTATATTTGATTCATGTTGAACTCCTCTTTGAGCACATCCCTTGAAGTATCATAGGTATTAGCAACACCTGTGAAATTGTATTTGCAGGAAAGAAGTGTGTCGCGTTTATTGAAGTATTTGTGTTGAGTTTTTGACGTCTTGTCCATGCGTAGTTCAGTTACGCTCATAGCTGCTAGCCAAAACTCTGGAGTTAAAAGTTTTCTGGCTTTACTAAAATACCTGTCTGTACTTATTTGATTGATGGTAGTTTTACTTTCTATTAGACTCCAAATGTAATCATTTGGCACGTTTCTAATTCATAATTTGTAATAATGTAATCGGCGATATTAGCATTAGCATTCCTATGGGTTTTTCCATGTATATTAGCATTGCGCTAACCACTCGCTGCCAAATTGCAGCCTTTGCCATTAGAAAATCTCCTTTTGTCACATCGCAATTTAATTGCACATGCAGTTAATCGTTCAGCCCTAATATACTTGCAGCTCTATGCTAAAAGTGTATTTTCAAAGAGGTAATGATGGATTTCTTTGTAAAAGTTGTCCATCTTTCCAATAGAAAAAATTTGCCTGGACCAACGTCACGTGATAACAACGTTACGTGATTACGTAATTCCGTAAGGTTCATGTTCAGCCAATCAACTACTTAGACGTCATCGGCAGTCGACGGACCCGAGCCGATCTTGCACCCGAGCAGATCTTGTACCGACACCGGTAATTTCAGGAAATATCCATCGAGACGTTATTGAAAGTTGATAAAAGGATGTCTAGTTGAAGAAAAACATTGGCGGCTTTGTAACATATAACCGTAAAATTCATGCCTAAAGTACATAGGGCGCAGGTCTTTGGGGGTGTCATATTAGACGCCATGTCTCCTTGTAGCTGACTCTGGGTCCTGTGCCTGTTGATGACATCACACAAGACGATTGGCTGGGCGTTTACAGAAGTTACGTTATCACGTTCAAAAACATTTAGACAAAGAATTCAACAACAAAACTGCTAAACTCTTTCCAAAACCTATTTGAAAGATCAGAATTGAAAAAGAGACGCTATCTATTTTGGCCGAAGGTATTGCCGATGACATCGTCGGCAGGCGCAGGACGCCAAGCAGACCCAGGAAACTACAATCAGCATTTCATTCGCTCGATGGAATTAAATAAAGGAGCATCAAAGTCTGAGGAGTCTCGCCGAGGTTGCACGCTTTCTGCTCCACAGGCAACAACATTCACCGGTAGCATTGATTTGAATCTACAGGAGACCAGTTTCTGACTGTGTTACCAGTTAGAGGTTCTGAAACAAAGTATTGAAAAGGTATTTTCTTGCTGTTGTATCAGGGTATCCGCGGGTCCTTAAAAAGTCTTAAAAAGTCTTAAATTTGTTTTTCCAAATTTAAGGCCTTAAAAATCTTTAAAAATGACAAATAATCCTTAAATACAGTTTCCAAATGTCTTAAATTACCAAAGACCCAATAAACAAGATTATTTTATTTCTATAAAATTTTCGTGAATTTCTAGTTAGTTCAGGATTTTTTGTGTACGATGTTGGCGTAAGCGGAACTGTACACATACGGTTGGTTGTGAAAGGGGGCTATTTTTAGAGGAGCATGCTAGTGGGCGCTTGCGCCATGGGGAAGTGCAACATTAATGGTAACTGGATGGCTAATCCCACGTTCACGATGTGGTTAGCACCGGTTCCAGGCAATAGCTGGAAATTATAGCTTAAATTTAATTTTAAAAATAGCTTAAATTTGGTCAAAGTGGCCTTAAAAAAGGTCTTAAAAAGTCTTAAATTTGGCTCCCTTAAACCTGCAGATATGTATCCGTACTCCATCACATCCTGATAGCTACTGGTGCATGATCCTGCTGGAGGAAGCCACCAGAAGATGGGTCCATGTGGTCCTGAAGGGATGGACATGCCATGCAGGTAGGCTGTGGTGGTTCCACCAGGCTCAGATGGGACTGAAGGGTCCGGAGTGGGACAAGAACATCTCCAGCAGCAGCAGCCTGAAGCACTGATCAAGGCAGGGTGGATCCATGCTTTCATGTTGGTGACACTAAATTCTGAGCCGACCATCTGAATGTTGCAGCTGAAATCCAGACCCATCAGACCAGGAAAGGTTTTCCAGTCTCTTCTGGTCCAGTTCTGGTGATCCTCAGTCTCCTGTTCAGACAAGAGACCTGGTGCGGTCTTCTGCTGCTGGAGTCCACCTGGAGCAGCTGGTGTGCTTCTGCAGACCTTGGTAGGAACCAGAGGTTATTATCCAGAACCAGTTTGACCAGTCTCTGTGAACCCTATGATGGTTCTGGTTCAGCCATCCTGGTTCCAACAACCATGTCGTGTGAACGGCTCTTCCTGTCCACCCTGATGCTGTGGAACTGCTGCGGTTAGGGTTAGTTGCTCTCATGGCAACCAAATAAACAGGAGGACATATTTAAGATGTTGCCAATCTAAACAAACTCGGCTCGTTCTTCTTCTCGTGAAGTGACCAGATAATTTCAGCTCCCTGAAACATGGACGCTGTGCTGTCTTCATGTGTTAATGATGAAAACAGCTCTGTGGTCCAGGCACACAAGCACTTTGTCCGTTCCTACTGACACAGCAGTGTAGGATCTGTAATCTGATTAGGAGGTGGGGGGGCTTTTAGAGGAATTGACTAATGTGGCCCTCTCCTCGATCCCTTCCCAGCATGCACCAGGGCCTCTTGTATTGACTGGGTCTCTATTAAGTTCCATTAAGGTTCTCCCGTTCCTAGGATGCAGCTTCTTGAAGAGGACCAGCTTGTGACGGGTCGATGGTTTCACCTCCAGCAGGGTGGGGTGGGGGGACTGAACATCTCAGCTTTATTAGTGGTAGTTCTGTTTTTACTGTAAATTGCTGGTTTGGTGTTTTCTAAGCGGTGATCTAACGTTCCTCCTGAACCGATCCTGTTTCATTTTGGGTTCTAGCTTCATTCTGAGATAAAGATACCCCATCGCTCTCCTCTGGCTTCCTGTTGAGGAGAGAGTTTATTTTATGATTCCTTTGATTGATTTTAGGACTGTGCTTGATCCAGAGCCTGAGTACACACCAGAACATCATCAAAGAACCAACCCTAAAGAAGTTTCATGTTCCGGATTGGTGAATAGAGGAAAAAAGGTTGTTGAAGGATCGTCCATCATGGACCAGTGCCTGTCCGTTAAAGATTATCTGATCATCTGTGTCAAGATCTTCTCATTTATCAGGTGATTATTAAAGAAAACCAGTTATTTTCTGGGGATCACCCGATCAAACCAACACCATTATCTGAGATGAACTAAAGCACCAGCTGTGGGTTTGTCTGGGGAAAAAAATTACCGTATTTTCCGGACTATAAGCCGCTACTTTTTCCCCACGCTTTGAACCATGCGGCTTTACTGAAGATGTTCCTTCACCTGCCACTAGGGGGCGCTTTAGCAGAAAGTGAAACAGGTGGAAGTCAAAAGTGGAAATGGAAGAAAGTGCTCATTTTAATTTAGCGCATGCAAGCAGCCAGCACCACGAAGAATGTTTTTCAAATCCACACCCCCCTCATCATGGTAACTACACGTATGAGTTCATATGATGCCGCATTTAAGTTGAAGGCCATCGATCTGGCAGTAGAGGAGGGGAAACAGTGCTACCGCACGTAAGCTTGGCATGAATGAATCCATGGTTCGGCGCTGGAGACGGCAGCGGGAAGAACTCATTCAAGCCAGCTTCACCCGGGGATGACGACAGCAACACGGACAGCGACTCTGACATCGCCACAGAAAAGGTATGTGACGAAGCTCTTCTGAGGCTGTTCAACTCCGACACTGAAGAAGAGGACTTTAATGGCTTTAGTGCGCAAGAGGAAGATGAGAGCGAATGACTTCTTCTGGTAGGCAAGTGTGTTTTATTTACTAACCAGGCATGTTTAGTGTGCAGTTTTTATTTTCTAACCATCCAGGGCTTATTAATGCTGTGTCAGCGCTGTTCTTTTCTTCTAAACATGCAAATTACCGGTAATAATAACGCGTGAGTGCTGCTTTTATGTTATAACCATCCAGAAATATGAACGCTATCAGCGCTGTTTTCTTTTCTAAACTTGCAGGCACGTTCACCCGTGTTTAAAATTCATTTTGTTGAATTAAAACAACAACGAAAAACGTCCGTGTAGCATCTTTCTGTCTAATTATCTTATGTTACGGCCGTACATGCGCTGTGCGCCGGAGACCTGCATGTGGCTGCTGCGCCGCGGCTTGTATTTGAGTGCGGCGTGTGTGTGTGTGTGTGTAGAAAACCTTTTTTTTTTTTTTGGTGCGGCTTATATTGAGGTGCGCTCTATAGTCCGGAAATTACGGTACTTGGAGATGTTTGGAAAAGTAAACAACGGTATCTTACATTAACATTCCCTTAATATTTTTATTTCTACATTATTAATTTACAATAAATTATAACTCTTATTGCCTCCAACAAATAAAAAAGGCCAAATGAAAATTTTCTATTGCACATTAATTTAAAGTGGGTGTGAGCGGGTGGTTTTCTTTGGGCCTTGGTGTTGCGGGGCTGATCCAGTGGGACCTGACGGTGACCTCTGCAGCTCTTATATCCAGCAGCTGTCACTGTTTGGACTCTACAGAGCCACATTCACGAGACTTGTGCTGTGTTTGACTTTTGATCAGCCTTAAAGGTGCAGTATGTAAGATTATAGTGAGGAAATCCCAAAAGAGTCTAATGTTTCAGTCATTTTGGAAGGAAGGTGGTACTGAACCATACTTCATATCCAGCTGACTAGGATTGTTAGTGTTTCTCCTTTCAAAACAAAGGAAGGAGGGGCGAAGCTACTGTTTTCCATCTGTGAGTGTGGGGTTGCCGAGACTCCTGCAGCGCTGACATTTGTAATTTGACGACGGCCGGCAAACAACTCCAGAGTTGTTTAAAGTGGTTTCAGTAACCAAATCTTGCCACAAGATGTCATAGCACATTATTTCTACATGATGCACCTTTAATAACCTAGTGTGTGACACATCCTCGCTCTGGGACGGCAGCCTGAAGGTGGACAAGTGGGAAGTGGTTTTCCAGTGAATCGCTGAGTCATCGTCACTGGTACAGCGTAGATCTCATCAGTTACACGATTTAAACACAACTATGAAACTGTTGTATTCATTAATTACACGGACTCCTGTTTTTCTGACACTTGATGGTCGGTTTCTTACCCCGGAACGAAACGGCAGCGAAGCGGCACCGCTTCAAATAGAATCCAATTATAGTCTATGGAGAGTTTCAAACCAGCCACGACGCGGCAATTTCCAGGCGCGTCCCAGAAGCGGCATGCCGCGCCGCGCCGCTAAAGATGGGATCGAGTTCTATTTTTTTCCCGAGCCGCTTCTGGGACACATCAATTTCCGCAGTTCACATAGTGCGAGACAGGAAACCACACACGGTTATTTTCTAAATAAAATGCAACGTTGCGATGTCATATATATACTTACGTCAGCCCGTGTGACCAAACGGCTTTGTTTACCACCAGTTTCTTTCGAGAAGTGCAACGGTGTGATTCCTCGCGGGGGTTGTGATCTCTCGATGAGGAAGGTGTCGGAAGTCTCGAGGGATTTTAGAATCTCGCGGGTACAGCGAGGCGCCGCGAGGAAGCCGTGCCGCGGCCAAGACTCTCCCGGTGTGAAAAGGACCGCTTTGAAGTTTGCGAGTGAGCCGCTCCGCTGCTGTTCCGCTCCGCTGATGCTTGCAGTGTGAAACCGGGGTTAGTGTTAGCTAAATTTGTTTCTTGGCCCAACCTGCAGGAGGCTTCGCTCTAAGGAGCCAGTTTATCTCTGAGAATGTTTTTCTTGAGGCCGTTTAGTCAGAAGTCTGATGCTTTGTCCTCTGTGGCCGGACATCAGATGTCTGATGATGTCCTGGGACCTGCGAACGTCCTAAGGTCCACACCATATCTGCATCTACTCAGTAACACGTTTGTTCTACAGAAGAGCTTCCGTTTAATTTTACACCTGATCTCATTGCTGTGGTACCCCCCCTTACACACACACACTCACACACACACACACACACACACACACACACACTGGAGCCCCTGTGGTGGGCTTGTCTTCTCAGAGGTGAGGATCACTCAGTGATCCTGATGACGATGCCTCCAACTGGGATTGTTTAAATTTTGTGTTAAAGGTGCTTTTTTTCTTTGCTGACATCATTCAGAATCATCAAAGGCTACAAAAATGTGAAAACGGCCCCAAAGCTGCTCCACTGACCCAAGAACCCAGCCGGGACAGTTTTTTCCTCATGACACCACCAGGGAGGCGGGCTGAAGAGAAGGTGTCGATAAGCTGACCCCTAACTCCTCCAAATCCCTGCAGAACAAAGGCCGGACCTCTCTGTCAAGCTCCTGAAGCATGCTGCAGGACGGCCCGGTTTGGGGGGAGCAGGGGTCATACTTCTTAACCACACCTTGAATGGCGCGGCAGACTGATGGTCGCAGGAATGCAGCCCTGATGCTCTGACTGGGGGGGGGGGTTAATGAGGATCCTCCACTTTCTCAGCTCTCTAACGTCCTCAGAGACAAACCTTCTCACCTCTGATTCCCCCGAGATGTCTCGTCCTCTTTCATCTTTTGGTCTTTATCCTGAAACAGCCGTGGAGCTGGTGTGTTTCTATGCGTACGCCAGTAAAACAGCACAGTAGCCATCTTTTATTATGTGTCCTACAGACCCTGTGAGCAGTGTGCTGTTCGCTGACTCACCGTAATCCTTCTTGCAGTACTTCTTCATGTTGATTTTCAGTTTGCCTTTGGAGGCTTTGCAGTACGAGTCGCAGTCTGCAGGAAGAAAAATGATTATAAGTTCTATTAAAAACGTCAGCATGAATTGAAATTGTTACATTATTATTTTAATTAATAATTTTACATTACTGATGAACAAACGCACTCAAAAACAAGTCTAGCAGAGCCAAATGACGAGGCCGAGCTTCAGGGTTATCCTCAGAATAAACTCTGTGTTAAATAAGGAACATCAGCAATAATAATAAACCCAAACATCTGATCTGCGACTGATTCTACAGCAAAAACAGTTTTCTGCAGGATTCCAGTTTGAATCGGAACGTCCGGAACAAAACGCAGATTTTTATCCCTGTTTGACACTTTTATATTAGCACTAATGACCTACTAATTTATACCAATATTGTTTATTTATTATTAAAGAGCAAGGGTTAGGGTTAGGGTTAGTATGCTTCTTGTAGGGGGTGCTCTTTAAAGAGCAAGTCACCCCCTACAATAAACTTTCTTCACTCCCACTTCATGTTTGAAAAATGCAACAAATGCTGTTGCTTGGCAGACTAAGAGGGCGGAGCCGCTAACAAATACACACTCACAATGGCATTATGACATCATTATATACCAGATGACATCATAGCATACCTCTTAGCCAATAGCGGTGGTAGATTTAAATTCAAATACAGTGCAGAATTTTTCCCTGATGACGACGCAACACTGACAGTTTTAGGCAGAATATTTGAATTTTAACTAAAATGCACTAAAGTGCAAAACTATTGACTACACGTGTCTGCAGCACGATTAGACACTCCTTTATATATTTTATCAGCAAAAAAAAGTGATTTGGGGGTGACTTGCTCTTTAAGATTAGCTCTTGTTCTTCATCATATTATTTTTATTATATTATTATTATTATTATTATTATTATTATGGATAAAATGATACAGCATGGCCCTAAATGGAACCAAAATATTATGTTTATGTGTATTTATTTGACAGACACTTCTATCCAAAGCGACTTACAATTTATAACCTGTAGGGCATGTTGTGATCTTCCTAGATATTCCTTAAATATCTTTGGTTTTGTTTTAGTAATTAAAAATTAAATAGTTTCATTTTTTCAGATGTTTCCCTTTCACACATAATTTGTTGACAGAATTATTAACAGACATTTTATTTTATTTTAAACTTATTCATATTAAATTGGAACAGTTGTTTGACATTTAGCATTTTACATCCATTCATGTTTCTTCTATAATTTACAGACATGGGACAAATCCACGTTAAAATGACTACAATAATTAAAAAAAATACTCTAAATGTCACATCTAATTAAAAAAAGGCAGATTTTACTCCCACGTTTTTTTAAAGTTTTTTATTAAAAATGGAGAATATTTAACACATTATAATAATTCTCCCAACATTATGTAACTGAGTTTCTATTTGTTTATTTTCATGACAATAAAAAAAACCCTCAGAAAACTAATTTAAAAAATCAGTTTCTCAAACTAAAATGTTTTGTATCACTGAAACATTTTAAATGTGTTTTATTGTTATTTTGTTTCTTGTTTCAGTTTTGCTGCAATGTAATAATTATGCTGTGTGCTGGTTGTGCAGCTGCTGCCTATCCACTCACTTGTTGTCGGACTGTGGGAATGGCGGGCACACTCACTCACTCACACACACACACACACACACACACACACACACACACACACACACACACACACACTCCACCTCGATCTAAATCTAACCTCACTTGTCACCTCACCACCCCAGCCTCCTAAAAAAAACTAACCCCAGGATCCCTCCAAGACCCCTGGGAGGACCAACACAAGCCTGTGTGTGTGTGTGTGTGTGTGTGTGTGTGTGTGTGTGTGTGTGTGTGTGTGTGTGTGTGTGTGTGTGTGTGTGTGTGTGTGTGTGTGTGTGTGTGTGTGTGTGTGTGTGTGTGTGTGTGATCGAGTGAGAGACGGAGATGGAGAAGTCTGAGGGCAAATTGTCTCCGTCTGTTCGTGTCTCTCCCTCGTGGAGATGACATGAGCCTCTCCAGCATGTCGTGGGTCGACCCAGGGGCCTCCTGCTGGCAGGGCACACCTGAAACTCCTCCTCTAGAAGGCATTCTTACCAAGTGCCTGAACCTCCTTAGTGGAGGAGCTCCACTGCCAGTTCCTCCTAGATGTCTGAACTCCTCACTAAACCTCTTTAAATATTCTCCTGCTTTGGTTAACCACTCCTGTTTGAAGGATTGGATTTGTGTGTGTGTGTGTGTGTGTGTGTGTGTGTGTGTGTGTGTGTGTGTGTGTGCATGCGCGTGCATGTGTGTGTGTGTGTGTGTGTGTGTGTGTGTGTGTGTGTGTGTGTGTGTGTGTGTGTGTGTGATCGAGTGAGAGGGGGGAGGTGAAACGGGTCAGTGCCACACAAAGGGGAGGTCAGGAAAGGAAAATTAGCCATCCATGAAGTGCTGTGCAGGGGACCCTTTTCGTGGTAGTGTGTGTGTGTGTGTGTGTGTGTGTGTGTGTGTGTGTGTTTGGGGGTCCACATCTCAGATATGAACAAATACATAATATTCTTTATTTTATTCCAAAATATCTTAAAACTCACATTGGTGGAAAGAGCAAGGCAGTAAATGACCCTGACTTGCATGTTTTTGGTCTGCGGGAGGAAAACTGGAAAACCCTCTCATGCATGAGAACAGCATGCTAGCTCTGTGCTAGCTCTGTGCTAGCTCTGTGCAGAAACGCTGCAGCTGGGTTTCTAACCTGTGACCCTCACATCGATGCTACCAACTGTGCCACTGTGCAAGCATTGGACTCTGTGCCTCAGGGACGCTGTTAAATGCAATGTGTGTGTGTGTGTGTGTGTGTGTGTGTGTGTGTGTGTGTGTGTGTGTGTGTGTGTGTGTTTCTCCCTACTGTACTGCTTTTTATGTTTTTTTTATGTAACTGAGGCAGGGGTACCAATTAGCCCTTTGGCTACAATTGGGTAAACTTTTAAAAAATCAGCTTTACTTTAGTAGCATGCAGACACTGACTACACTGATAATCTGTGCGACCGATCTCTCACATGAACAAACATGGAGAACGCTGCTATAAAAGAGGCGAAGAGCCTCTTTGGAAGCACAGACTTTCACGTGGGATGTAACTGAAATTTGAATCGACGTTCGATGGTGCAGCTTTGTGTCATACATGGAGATAGAGCTGTTTCGTGGTGGATGGATAGGGTGGTGTAGTAGGTGGATCAGAAGATTTCGGCAGCCCTGAATATGAACAAACGTCTCTGACGTGAGCAGATCTTTGTTCCTCTGCGGATTCTGTTTTCACCGAGGTTGCCTAGGGAACACCACCGCAGGACAAAACGCACCAGAAGAAGAGCGGAAGGCTCGGGCGCAAACGGGTGGAGAGATGGAGGAAAACGGGAGACGAGTGAAAATTATCTGAGGGGAGAAGAAGAGAAAACCCACTCCAGGAAACGCTGAGTCTTATATTCTGGTCGGTGAACAGAGAAAGTAACAGAAATTAGATGAACAGAGGAGTCCACCCGAGCCGGACCTGATTACCATGTAAATGATGGAAGTGGGGTCGGTGGAAAGGATGCTTTGTTTTCTCATAACCCCCCCTCGATGCCATCCTGATACTTCCCTTTGATAGCCTCTCGTTTCCCATTAGTGTACCCCTGAGACGCAGCTCCGGGCCCTGCTGAGAGAGCCCCGGGATGCCTATTTAGGCCTAGGCAGTCCCCTACGGCGAGGACAAATGTTCTCTTTGTGAGTGCGTCACAAGCAGAAGAAGTGGAAGCGGTCTTGTAATGCTGAGCTGAAATGCGCTCTGCGTGTTCTAAGTAGATGTAGTTACTACGGCGCTTTGTTTCCCGCCTTTCAGCTCGCAGAGGAGTCGGTAACTGAGAGGAGGACCTTTGCCCCCTCTATCAAAGTACCGTACGGCCCTCTAAACTAACTGTTGTTTTTCAAGCTGCTTCCAGAGAGAATTCAGAGCAGCAAAGATCACTCCTACGTTACAGAACCGCAGATGTTATGACGCCGCAGAAACCTTCGGTCTGAAAGGCAGCGTGCTGTTCCCCGCCTCCACGCCGTGTTTCCTGATGCTTCATTCCAACAAACTCTGGTTTAAAGTGACACTTGGATATTTTTCCACTTTTACAGAGGACACTCATCTGGATCGCTCAGGGAGCAGGTCACCCCTCGGTTCAAGGGTCTACGAGGAGTAAACCTTTCATAGCACTTCTGCCCTTTTTCACCAGTGGCTTTGGGTAGCACCACTATGAAGGTGGAACGTTGGCATTTCTGTGACTAAAAATCACAATGATATAATCTGGAGCCTTTGGAGTGTGCCCCAGTGTTCCACTCAGATTACACCGGGGGGGTGTACAGAGATGGAGAGATAGTAGATCGCCTAGAGCAGTGGTCTGCAACCTTCCGTCGGATTAAAACGTTTTAGAGCCGCAACTGTTACAGGACCTTTTAACTCATTCACTGCCATTGACGACTGAAGTCGTCATTTGCAGGTTTTTACTGTGTGGGCGTCGGACGAGCCCCCGCACCGTGAGAACAAACATCTCCGCTCTAAAGCCGATCTTCATCCGCATACGTCACACGTCATGTGATCAGTAAGCAGAACATCCATGTGTTAGGAGATCGTTTTGGGCCCCTGCTGTAAAAAAAAGTGAGGCGCGAACCGGAAAAGCTTCTGCCGATCACAATTCAACAACGGATTATGGAAGAACGGATAACGCTCCAAACGCGCGGATTCTTTATTTTTTTCATTCTCATTTCTTTCTTTATTGAACATGTAAATGAATAGACACATTAAAGTATTCAAAAAGTACTCAAAAAGAAACCCATACATATGTATATGCGTATATATATGTAGAACATGTTCAAGGGAAAAGAAGCTCTGGTAGATTATGTAATCCCCCCCAAATCAAATTTCAAGGAAGATAAAAACAAAAAATTATTTTCCCTACACTGAGCGTCATAGCCATTTTCTTATACCATGTTTTATCCTCAATCACACAAACAAAATTGACAT